CAAAATGAACCGCCGCGTTATTTTTAACATTATTTTCGTTTTAAATTGGCGGAATCATTTAAAATTTATATTTTAGTAATTTAAGTGGAAACCAAAAAAAGGTAATATTAATATAATAAAATTGTTTTATTTATTCTTTGTTACAAAGTTACAATCTATATTTCTTTGCAATAAAGTACATTGAATTTAATGTGCGTACAGAATTTAATCAGACTCCGATTCGCTTGAGGAGGTGGTGTCTTCATCATCATCTTCGCCTAAATGTATATTATATTATTATCAATAACAGAATCAATCCTGATATCTCGGTCTAAATGTTCCACAATCAGGTTTTTAGTCTTCTCAACAACCTTTGCCCAGTCATCTCTTATGACTACCCCGCAGGCTTGTTTTAATAGGGTCATCATCTTTTTCGTGCTGAATGACGGGGAAGTATTGTGGCGGGCGGCGTAACCTTTTATTTGAGCCCAGATTAGCTCAATCGAGTTATACAGATAGACCGCACTCCAGAGCCAGTTCATCGATTTCGTATCGCACATTTGCTTCTTTATTTTCTTTAACTAATTTAATTAGCTCTGGTTTTAGCATCTGCATATTTGCGTCAATGCCTTTTGCTTGTAACCAAGCCACCATTTCTTCTTTTTTATTAGCTTGGGTAGGTGGTTTCTGTATTTGAACCGAGTGATAGGAGGCATTATCCATGAATATTACAGAAGGCTCTGGTAGGCTGGGCAAAAGCACGTTCTGGAACCACTCTTTAAATGTAGTGGCATTCATTTCCTCGTGGTAGTCATTTGTGGTTTTTGATTGAAATGCCAGTAACGCGTTCTCCACAAAGTCGTATTTTGCAGAACCGGTGTGGCATATTATCAGACGGGCCCCCTTACCCAGTGGTACTTTCGACGTCGACGCTTGTGTATCATCCGTCCAAGAACGGGAAACCGTGTGATTGGCGTTTAGCCATGTCTCGTCAATGAACATGACATTATCCCAGTTATCAATATTTTTTCCTTCTCTCAAAAAACTTATCAGTTTTAAAATTATGTCGTATCGTTCTAATAAAATTTTTCTTTTGTCTGTTTTTGTATACGAAAAACCAATATCTTTTAAAATTTTGGTTAAAGCAGTTTTACCCCCGCTAAACAGTCCAGCTTCTCTTAACGATGCCAAAAGCTTCTTCCTGTTGAGATATTCATTTCTGGAATAGTAACCATATATATATATGATTTCTGATTGCATCGGCGTCAAAGGTGTCAATATCTGTCACGGGTTTAGTTCTACGTTTCTTTTTCGGAGTACGTAAAATATTATCTTCCGTGCCAGTAGAGCCGAACTTTTCTTTATTAATATTTGTTATCGTTCGTTTGCTAACTCCAAGCGCCTGAGAGACGCGTTCTTGTACTTGTTCGACAGGTAACAGGGGTCCGCCATTTTGCCGCTCTCGCTCAAAGTAATCTTGCAGCTTTGTGATTAACTCACGGGCTCCACTTTTCAATGTTCGTCCACGTTTAGGCATTATTATGCGCCAAAAGTAAAAAGAACGCAATACAAAACACAATCGAAGTCCGATTTAGCGCCGATGTCAGTTTGAAAAGCAGAAACAGTCCATTAAACGAAAGCCGGGTAATCAAATAAAAACAGATCGAAAACACTTGAAGAACGTAGTCTATGACGTCACGAAACGACAACAGACGACTGTTTTAGCGTCACAAAATGGCGGCCCATAACGCCATTTGGGGTTACCATTTTCAACCTAAATATAAAAATGCTACTTTTTCGCGCGTTCGGTTTGGTCGTAGTTTTATTTTTATATTTAATAAAAGTTATCTTATAGTCCATTATTTTCAAATTCTTAAAAAGAAAAAACACGTATTATTTTATAAAGTATAACTGTATAAGAACAGATTATGATACTGTTATTGCCTGTTATTGTTAGCACAGCACTAGAAATATAAAGCGCTGACATAACTTTCTAATAGCGCAGTATAGATTTAGAAAAATATTGTTTACCAAGTTATTTGACACTCAGTTTGGCACAAAATTATAACATTCATTGATTATTGATATAATAATGTTGTTTTAATGCTCATCAATTGTTAAAACGGTAAACAACCAGCAAAAATATTTTTATCGTAACTGCAACGCCATTACAAAGTTACGTCGTCAGTTCAATCGCGACGTGTCAGGAACGCATTCTCTGAACGGCCGAACTATAGTTTCGTCACCCTATCCTATAAAAAACTTCAATAATAAAATAAAATTAGTATAAATTGGGCAACATAAAATAAAACAATCTTAATTTAGTAATACTTTATATTTAATATCTATATATATTATTTTATTAGCACCATACCATAGTGTTAAATTTTGTTATATAATGACAAGTAAATAAGTGCACTTCTGGTGTTTGTCATTTTGTATACATAGGTGTGTTATTTTTTAATATGTATGAGTTTTCTTAATAAAAATATTTTTCTACAAGTTTTATCAGCTTTTTTTCAACTCTGTAATATTTAAAATAATATTTATAGCGTTAAGGAAAAAATTGATTGGTTGAATAAAGTTACAGCCTATATACGTCCCACTGCTGGGCACAGACCTCCTCTCATTTCTGAGAGGGTTTTAGAGCAAGGAAGTGTCCGTCGCGCAGACCTAATGCGTGTTGGCGAACTTCACATGCCTTCGAAATATTTTTTTTCTTGTTCCTCAGACATGCAGGTTCCTCAAGATGTTTTCCTTCACCACCGAGCGCATGCTAAATTAGCACTTAAAATTGCAATTAATAATTTCATTGGTGCCGGCGGGGATCGAACCCGGGTTACTCGCGTTCTACTATATTTACAGCGAGCTTTAACCATTTGAGCTACCACGGCTCTGTTGGTTGGCCACGGTTGGTTGAACGAACCATATAAATTATAAATGAAAAAATCCACCATATTTTGTCACGTGGATTTTGTAAGAGGCGACCATGGGAAATGTCGGAAAAATCGTAGTTTTCGATAGATCGATTCATTCGCCGACGGGTAGCAGCAGTAAGGGTACGAGACGTCCGAATCCGCGTACCAAGTTACCATTAAGGCAAGTCCTTTTTACAAGGGAAGAGCCATATGTCATGCGGTGGAATTTTACAGGCCAACAAGAAATTATGACTTTATTAACTACTAGCTGTTACTCGCGACTTCGTCCGCGTTGCTTGATAAATTACCAAAGTTGTGTGAAGGAAAAAAGATCGCAAGCAAAAATGTACTTGGCTTACAAAATTTCTTTGTAAACAATGTTAATTGGTGCATATAATGTTCACTGAACAGTGGTGCTTATAAAACCCGTTGTTTCTTAAAACTTTAATAACTTTATATTAAATGAAGATATTACAATATTTTTTTAGATAAGGGCCAAGTGTCTAATAAATAAAACTTAGAAAACTTAATTTTCAGTTTCTTAAAAATATGTTATTAACTACAATTGACGACAGTTTTAGGAGTATAAAATTGTAATATTGTTTACACTTAATACTGGCAACACTTCACGACTTTAAAGTCTAATCCTCCTCTTTCCTTATTTTCCGAATAATATGGTATTCAACCAGTGGTAAAAACCAAAGTAACAGAGACTGACAAAAAGCGACTTTGTTTTAATGTAGAGAGAAAATCAAACATGTCTATTGTTCAAAAAGAGTAGATGTGCTGAATAGATAATTAAGGTGATATTTGACGATAATATCAAATTAACTTTCGAAATAAAATAATATATTTGAAGGTCTAAATTTCGATACATTCACAGTTTATACAGTCATAAAATACGCCTCTGTATGGTATAATACCTTTGCCTGCCTTAAGAGCCTATACTACCTCAGCTCAAATTCTAATTTCGCCCGCACTTCCCCGCGCGTTATATGTACCAACATGTTTGTAATCACTAAAACTGTAAGTAAATACGTCGTTAGATACTCATTTTATTAGGTTTATCATATTTATGCCTGTCTCTTAACGCCAACCCAGTCGCTTCTTATTTTTATTTCGGTTAATTCCCATTTTATTTTTACGTCGTCCTGTTGTGTCGAATGTGTATTCTGATCATAAGCGATACAGCTTTCCCATTTGAAAGCCGAAGCGAGACTGATCGGGCGGCAGATCGGTCGCCGATAGTTTAGGTATTTTTTTACAGTGAAAGTAATGGTAATTTAAAAAAAATAAAAAAAATAACCCCTGCTTTATGGTTAGTTCAGTTAGTATGCAAAGTTTCATGATCTAATTTAAAGTATTTTATAAATACCAGCGGTTTATTGTTCAGTTTGGAGGTAACTTTGGATTCTTTTTCTATGGAGAAATTTTTACGGAATCCTGTTTTCGTCTAACATAGTACTTAACATTAATCCTCAACTTTACCATATATTTATTTCAAAATTAATGCTGCAATATTTGCGGCATAAGGGAGGATCTTGTTAAGCCATTTGAGGAAGTATAGGCCCTTAATTGGCGAATTGTAACAATTACAACTAGTCAATTTAGTATCAAATTATTTATGATAACTTTTCCCAGACTTCGATAGGCCATAAGCTTGATGATAAAACGTAGTAAACTATTTTATTGATATCTGTAACGGTAACATAAGTAGACGTTTAATAATTCCATCAGCATTTTTTCCGCCATTGTCCTTTAAGTAATTTCCATAGAATCTTATGCTAAAATACAAATAAGTTATACTTAAAATCTATCTATATGTTTTTTAATTGAACTTACAATTTGTCACCTAATGGGAAGCGATAGTGAAGGTGTACTAAATCGCACCAACACACTTTCTCTAACCTGAAGTTACAGGTTAAAAATAATCCTTAAATCTAAACAATTTGTTAGTGACAAATGTTTAACAAATTATACAATCACATGTTAATTATAGTTTTAGTACACATGATAAAGTACTATGCTTTGTCATAAATATCAATTTTGTTAAAAGCATTTATGAATTAGTATTAATGGCACAAAAGTTGTATTTATAGCATTTTAAGATCTTGCTCGGCTTGCCTTCTTGCTTTTGTCGAGGGTTTGGGGTGGAGGCGGCGGTTTAGCTGACATGTGCCGGCTGTACAGTCTGCAAATTAATATATTTTATTGAGGAAAAAAAAAACAATTCAAGAAACGAAAATCCAAGAATGATGAACAATAAACCGCAATTTGTTAACTAACCAGATACTTATATAGGCTACTACTTTTTAACTTAAATTTATATAGGTATTATATATTAATTCTTACACTTAAAAAAAGGTTGGCCATTCCTAAAAAGAGATCAATATGTTATGATTTCTTATATTTACGCGAACACTACACATTGAAATAATATTTCTTAACAAAGTTTTTTACAGCACTCATGGTCACGGGACAGCACACACTCAAGGTGTTATCAGGATTCCGAATTACTAACACATCTAGAAAAGCTAAGGAATTGTTTGCCTCTAACTCCATTGTGAACTGAATTTTAGAATTTATAGAGTTAAGATGGTCTAAAAATGCAGTTACTTTATCTAAAGGTAGAATTGTGAAAGTGTCGTCTACGTACCGCTTGTAGAATCTTGGATTTATGGGAGAAGTAAGCAGGGCTTTCTCCTCAAAGTCTTCCATGAATATGTCGGCGACAATGGGAGATACAATGGGTGAGCCCATCGCCACACCATCTACTTGCTTGTAGAACTCCTCCTTCCACAATAGGTAGCCAGATGTAAGGCAGTGTCTGAGTAATACTGCATATTCTACGGGCATGTTGTTTTCTTCCAGCCTTCTAGTTACAAATGAGATGCAGTCTTCAACAGGTAAGCATGTAAACAATGACATCAAAACTTACCATAGTTTCATTGTCTGCCAGACGTAGGTCTTTAATCTCGCTGACAAAATGGTGGAATCCTTTATGTGTGCTCTTGTACGTCCCCTGAGCGGTGAGAGTGTTTGATGAATTGATTTGGCTCACTATGGGACGTAATGGAGCATTGGGCTTGTGTATTATTGGTAACCCATAGAACTTTGGTGATTTGGCGCACGTAGGTATTATCCATTTCAAAATGGATAAAATGGTGGATAACATGGTGAATGTGGTCTCTCCTATATAGGACAAACTAAAAGATCAATTAAAACCCGCGTTAAAGAACATATAGCTGATGTGAAGAATCGACGCTCCGGGAAGTCCGCAGTCTGTGAACACGTACAGGATCGCCCCCGTCACTACATTAGATTTGATAGACCACAAAGCCTCGCTAAAGAACACCGATTCCTTCCAAGGATGATTCGCGAAGCTACTAAAATCAAAAAACATCCTAATTTCAATAGAGAAGATGGCTGCTGCTACCATCTGCTTGGGATCCTATAATAAATAAAATTAAATCCCAACCCAAGCATACAATTGCAAGACTTCATGATGCCATAAGTTCATACTGTGTAGATCTGAACAAAAGTTAAATTTTAATCTATGGTAACCGCGGTTAACTATGACATCTGGACGTTGACATCTCAGTCCTTCCCGTGATCATGGGTGCTGTAAAGCTCTCGAAACGTCGGGTATTTAAAAAGTTAAATATACGCGATAAATTCCGTAAAAACTAGTATTATTTCAAGATCAATATGTTGCCAACATATTGATCAAATCGTATATTCATATTATCACAACTACTTACACTCTATAGGTTTCTGAACGCAAATAGTCCAACACGTGCGATGGGCCCAACTTCAGTTGATCTTCTATCGGAGGTACCCAGAAGTTACCTTCCAGTCTCAGTACAGATTTGTTGCTTGCTAAGTCGAGAGTACCTGAAATAAATTTGTTTTAATTTTAATACAAATTAACAATATTTAAAATTTAAGTATTTATATATTGGTAAAGTCAGTAGTAGAACATTTTTAGTTAACAGAAAAATCTAGTTAGCTGGTGATAAAATAAACCAATGGAGCATCCAAATAGAGGTATTATAGGCGAAAATTAGTAAGAAAATAATTCTGTCAACCAAATGATATGTACTACTCAATAGGTAATTGTTAATTTCAATTTACAATTATCTATTGAGTAGTATGTGCCGTGTAGTGGCGGTTGAGAATATCCACTACCCCATATCTTCCCGTGGGTGTCCTAAGAGGCGACAGAGGGAGACAGGCAGGAGATGGGCAGCAGCATCTTCCTGATAACAACAATAACATAATAAAAAACTGCGGTTGCCACCCCGCTCGCCAAGCGTGGCAACTATGGCAAATATCCCCCCATGAGCAACGACGCAAATAAACGGCCTCCAGTCCCCGGCGGCCCCGCTATTCCTGGCTACGGTGGCGACCATGGTAACGGCGGGGCAGGGGGTGCTAAGAATCTCCGGTGGAGGTTCGGTTGCCACCTACTACGACTCGACCTGGCAACATATAACGCACGCACTCTGAGGACTGACGAGAAGATACTGGAGCTGGAAGAAGAGGTAGACAAGTTGCGCTGGCATATTATTGGATTATCCGAGGTCCGGAGAGGGGGGAGGATACGGCAATCCTCGAGTCCGGCAACTTGTTCTACCACCGGGAGGGCGACCATCTGTCCCAAGGAGGTGTCGGATTTATCGTCCACAAGTCTCTCGTCAACAACGTTGTAAAGATTGGGAGTGTGTCGACGAGGGTGGCGTACCTGATACTCAGAATCACCAAACGGTATTCGCTGAAGGTCATACAGGTTTACGCACCAACCTCGGCACATCCCGATGAGGAGGTGGAGGAAATGTATGAGGATATTTCCAGAGCCATGCATTCCTCCAAAACCCACTACACGGTGTTGATGGGAGACTTCAACGCAAAACTAGGCACAAGAGAAAGCGGTGAGCTGAAGGTGGGGAAATTTGGAGTAGGGCAACGGAACCGAAGGGGCCAGCAGCTGGCCGACTTTATGGAGAAAGAGGGACTCTTTATGATGAACTTTTTCTTCCAGAAGCGGCCTCACAGGAAGTGGACCTGGTCGAGCCCCGACGGTTCGACAAAAAATGAGATTGACTTCATTATGACGACCAGACGCCAACTGTTCAGTGATGTCTCAGTGATCGCAAGGGTGAAAACTGGCAGCGATCACCGAATGGTTAGAGGCACACTGAACCTAAATGTTAAGTTGGAGAGGTCTCATCTAATGAAGTCAACGCTCCGTCCCCCTCATGCTCTAATCCAGAATCCGGAAACCTTCCAGCTCGAGTTACAAAACCGCTTTCAGTGCCTAGAGGATTGCAATGCAGTGGACGATATGAATGACAAGCTCGTGGAAACTGTCCATGCGGTCGGAGCTAAGTTCTGCAAGACCCGCCGCAGAAGAACACAAATACTCTCCGATCTCACTCTTAATCTCATGGCTGTTAGACGGGAGATGAGGCTGCAATCGTCAACAGATTTGACAGCATACAGGCAACTGAACAGACAGATCTCCAAATGCATGCGGCGAGACTTACGCAACTTTAATACTGCTCGTTTTAAAGAAGCGATCGAGCGGAACCAGGGCTCCAAAGTCTTTGCCAGAGATCTATCTGCCAGAAAGAGCCAACTGTCAAGGCTGAAGACTGAGTGTGGCAACATCGTTTCCGGGACACCTGAGATTCTGAGTGAGATTGAGAGGTTCTATGGGCAGCTGTACACATCATCGTTGGAGCCACACGCAAGTGTGAGTAACGATCCAAGAGCAAGTCTTATCCGACACTATTCCGATGATATCCCGGACGTCAGTCTGAGCGAGATTAGAATGGCTCTCCACCACCTTAAAAACGGCAAGGCCCCGGGCGAGGATGGAATTACAGCGGAGCTTCTGAAAGCGGGTGGAACACCGGTACTTGAAGTCCTTCAGAAGCTCTTCAATTCCGTCCTCCATGGTGGCACTACTTCGGAGGCGTGGAGCAGAAGCGCGGTGGTCTTGTTCTTTAAGAAAGGCGACAACGCTCTCTTGAAGAACTACAGACCGATTTCCCTTCTGAGCCGCGTCTACGAGCTGTTTTCGAGAGTCATTACGAATCGTCTCGCACGCAGACTCGACGACTTCCAGCCTCCCGAACAAGCCGGTTTCCGAAAAGGCTTCAGTACCATAGACCACATACATACCCTTCGGCAAATTGTACAGAAGTCCGAAGAGTACAATCTGCCACTTTGCCTCGGGACTATGAGAAAGCCTTTGATTCCGTCGAAATTTGGGCGGTGCTACGGTCTCTTCAGCGGTGCCTAGTTGACTGTCGGTATATTGAAGTACAGTAGGGCTACGATGGCTATCCGAGTACAGAACCAGAGTACGAAACCTATCCAAGTGCAGAGAGGTGTAAGACAGGGTGATGTTATATCCCCGAAACTCTTCACTGCTGCGTTGGAAGACGCTTTCAAGCTACTGGACTGGAAAGGATACGGTATTAACATCAATGGCGAGTACATCACTCACCTTCGATTTGCCGACGATATAGTCCTTATGGCAGAATCGCTGGAGGACCTTAGCACTATGCTCAATGACCTCAATGGTGTCTCCCAACGGATAGGTCTTAAGATTAACATGGACAAAACAAAGATCATGTTTAATGTCCATGTCACACCTATGCCGGTAGTTGTTGGGAGCACTATGTTCGAAGTTGTTGACGAGTACGTTTACCTGGGACAAATAGTCCGACTAGGTAAGTCCAACTTCGACCGAGAGGTCAATCGACGGATTCAACTCGGCTGGGCAGCGTTCGGGAAATTACGACACATCTTCTCGTCAGGTATACCTCAATCTCTGAAAACTAAAGTGTACAACCTGTGCGTGTTGCCAGTGATGACTTACGGATCTGAGACGTGGTCCTTCACCGCTGGCCGTATGAGGACGCTCAAGGTCGCTCAGCGAGCTATGGAGAGGGCTATGCTCGGAGTTTCACTGCATGATACTCAGAAATGAGGATATCCGCAGTAAAACCAGAGTGACCGATACAGCCCAACGGATTAGTAAGCTGAAGTGGCAATGGGCCGGCCATATAGCTCGAAGAACCGATAACCAATGGGGAAGAAAGGTTCTCGAGTGGCAGCCTCGTACCGGTAGGCGTAGTGTAGGGCGACCCCCCACTAGATGGAGTGACGACCTGGTAAGACATGCAGGAAGTTGATGGATGCAGGTGGCTCAGGACCGTGCTTTGTGGCATTACTTGGAGGAGGCCTATGTTCAGCAGTGGACTTGTTAAGGGCTGTAATGATGATGATGATGAATGATGAATTTCAATTATTGCGATGCATTGTCAATGAGACATGAGTAATTGTAATGCCCGTACAGACTTATGCAATGTAACATAAAATGAAAGAATTTGCAATGTAACACATTTTGTAATAAATATACATGGTCTGGACGCCTTTATGCGCATGCTACGAGTGTTGCAAGTCGCGCGCGAAGCGATCCGTTTTTCGAACGAACACAAAGAGGCGCGCAGTGTGCTCAGAGCGCCAGTGCAGACAGGTTATATCGAGACGCTAGCGAACACAAACTGAACCACGTTCGCGAGCACGTCGGAAATAAATCTGAGTAGGCATATGTTCGGTGTGTGCATGCGCTGCCTCCACACTGATGAAATGCTCCTTTCATGTTGCATTGCATGTTACCCATCTACAGTCTGTATGCAGCATAACAAATAACTAAAAAGAATGCCAAAAAATTGTTTAATAGCTGGTATAACACTTTTTTTGCTTAGGAATCTGTCTGGATAGAGATATTACTTATATTGCCATCAGCAGCAACATATGCGCCACTGTCTTACAGTCTGAGCAGTATAGAGCCAGTATAATTATACGTCGTAAGTCCCATTCATCCTAATCCATCCAGATTCCACCTTAATTCTCGGAGGTGACAATGTATTTTTAGCCTTATTAGGTTTGACTTTTTCGGTTCCAGGGCAGGGGTACATGGGCTGGAAAATCTACTTATGGTCAGGCAACCTTAAGTCCATTTGTCACTTTAATTTTATTTAAAACAATATAAGTTACACTATCGGTTGCAAGACTCATCTCACTAGGGGAATAAAACTTAAAGAGTGTGCCCAGATCCCCCAATATGTGTTGATGGACTTGTCTTGAAGTATATTTTTCAGTAATGCAAGTTTTCTCATCATGTTTCTTTCAACAACAAACAGGTAACAAATTAACAGTAAAAATTATTTGTCACAAATCCGAATGCAGCCTAATCATGTATTGTATAATTTAAGCAGGCCATTACCGAGCTACTTTGGCGTTTTGCCTTAAAAGCTTGCCAGGTACACCTTAAAAATTGTTTTAGAGGGGTAAACAGAATATATTGTAGAAAAAATAATTTTTGTGTAAGTTAGCTGCAGGTCCTGGACAGTATATATACTTATACTTTCCATAATATATTTATATATATCTTTATATACTTTCCATAATAACCACTTTCCATCAGGTAGTCTATAGTACCCATGCAAAATTGAGTAGTAATATTGTCAAAATCTGACAACTGGGAGCCCCATGTGAACATAGAAATGGACAAACACACATTTGTAAATGTGTATACATTCCATCCACCCAAAAATATTACAGCCCTTATTGGCATCGCTGCCCTTGAGTATTTACAATAAGATGTGACTTACCAATTTCAGGAGGCAAAACAACAAGGCGGTTGCCTTGTAAATGCAGTTCTCTAAGACGTGACAGCTGACCCAGTTCACGTGGCACTTCTATAAGATCGTTCTCTCGCATTGAAAGCTAAAAATTAAGAAAATTCACTGTGACTTGTTTAACAATATCAGATATATGTGACAATTTGGTCGTCAGCCATGATGTGGTGGAGGAGTAAGGATATCCATCACCGCATTTCATCCCATGGGTGTTATAAGAGGCAAGTATGGGAAATGCCAGAAGTATCTCATAAATCTAAAGGTGGTAAATTCATTACAGCCTTAGAAAGTTCAACGCTGAACATAGGCTTCCAAACATAGATTGCAGGAGGCAACTGCAGTTTTTTATAATTCTATGTTGATATCAGGAAGATGCTGCTGATCTTGTCTTGTTTTAGTTTCCTTCTGTCGCCTTTTATATCACTCATGGGGTGATTTAGCAACTACACAGGTATTGACCGGCGACCCACATCGCCCTAGCAGTGTTGAATGTGTCAATGTTAAGTACAATTTGCTTTCGTACATCAGTTTAGGCCAATATCCATCAGTAGACTTCTATGAGTTGATAAAAAGAAGATACCTGATAACTGCACTTCTTTTCCTATCTTTTACAGAATTGCTTTTACATGATCTAACTGTACGTTTTTAATTACAATTTTTGGTGATCATGATCATGATTCTTACTAATCATCAATAAATGAATTAAAAAATCACCATCATAAATTGTAAGGCCTCTTACAATTTATGATGGTGATTAACTAACATTTTTAATATAAAATAATGGGGACAGTTGAGCATAAAGTCCATCTGATGGTAAGTGGATGCTACGGCTTTTTTTGTATCCTTTGTTTACAACAATCTGTCGCCATTGAGGGACATTCAGCAGTATGTTTTGGCTTTTTGGCATCTACATCTATTCTTGATTAAGAATCACAATGCAGATGCATTGTCACCCCTGAGGACTAAGATGGAATGTCTTGTTTCCAGTAAAAAGGGTCTCCAGTTCTCTAGACACCATACAAAACACAGCAGCATTAAGCTGCTATTATACACAAAAATTTTGTGAGAGTGTGTGGTCCTACCAGGTATAAAACATACCAATCATATAAATGTTCTACAAACCCAATTACAGTCATAACTACAAGTCTCAATGGAGACTAGCCATCAGTTTAGGACAAGATTAAAGTCCATGAGTATGTTGTCAAGTGCAGGTGCACTCTCTATTTCCTCACTCTCATAGTCCAATGGGACATCAAACCAACACAACCAGAGAGTAATCAAGTGCAGGACCAACAGCTTTGTGCTTCATGAGACACGAGGGTGAAACACTCCCAACATCATGACTCTAAGATGCTGAGAATACTGAGAATTTAATAAAATGAAATATTAATGGAAGACTGAGAATTTCTTGACAGAAGAACCCAAAAACTGAATATGTCCAACCTGGAATTCATACCCAGCACCTTATGATCTTACCTTGCGAGCGAGGTGCTTTTGAGTAAAAAGCATCTGAAATTGAGCATATTTGTGTCTACGGCCCAAAGATTCCCATTACTAACAGATGGAGTATGATTTGTGCTAATTTTTCAACTATACAAGCTTAACTGACTATAATCTGCCACTTCAGGCCATGTTCTTCGCTAACTTAAATCCCCTGCTATGCAACTACATCAAGATGCAGCACATAACTTCAGTTTTAATTTAAAAAATAATTCTTGCATATGGAACAATATAATACCCGCATTTCAACGCCTTACTTTGAGCTGAAGTTGCCATTCTTTTTTGAACATAAAAATTTTGTAAATCTTCCTCCAGTCTGAACACATAACTGTTACATATTTGTTCAATTTGAAAATTCAGCTTCAACATTTAAAAAAAATCATACGAAATATTATAATCTTTTTCTATTTGTACTTACAATTTGCAAATTTTTCAAATTGCCTATTTCTGATGGTAAATATTCAAAATCATTGTCACCCAAATAAAGCGCTCTCAAGCTCTCTGTAATAAAAATTGTGATAAGTTAACTAATAGATAACATGGCAATTTTAAATTATACAATTATCTCTTGTATGAAATATCAGGAACAACAGTTACTAACCCATCATAAAGAAATTTCCAGGTAGTGTCTTCTCATTCAAATTATTGTATGTCAAGTCCAGGATTTCAAGCACTGGAAAGGCACCAAAACCTCGTGGCAGCCCATACAACCGGTTAAGAGAGACATTCAGAATACGCAGCTTCGGCAGAGAGGATAAACTGACTGGCAATTCTTCTATATGATTGTTTGCAAAATTCAAGATCTCCAAGTTCGTAAGATTGGCAAGTGCAGCTGGAACCACTTGAATCTTGTTGTGGCTTAATGACAGCCTAGTGATGTTCACTAAGCTGACTGAAAAATTAAATATGTTAAAGATTACTTTATGAAAAATGAAATTATTAATTTCGTATTATATAATAATAATAATAATAATAGTTTATTTCTCTTGTTATTTACAATTTGCATAGGGTAGGGAGCATCTTTTAAGTACCTTAAGGCACTTGTGTCAGAGACTCCCACTCTTCCATAGCCAAACAAAACATTCAAGAGACGTGAGATTACATAAAAAAAAATATTATACAAAAAAAAAAGAAAATACAATATTCAAAAATAAATGTGTTGTGTGTGTGTGTGTGTGTGTGTGTATGTGTGTGTATGTGTGTGTTGTGTGGTTTTTCTCTCTCTCTCACCCTATGTGTCGAAACATAAGTTTTTCTGTGTCTTCGTAAGACAGGGTCTTTAGCCAATTTATAATCAAAATCTTGCAGTCCTTGGCATTTCTACAGTAAATATTAAGCTTTTTGTTGACAAAGTTATATAGATAGATAGATTGGTTAATGAACTGACGTCTAGCGAATGCAGTTTTAACACAAAATGAATTAAGTACAATGTCTTTTCTTCTTTTGTTCAAAGTATTTGGGTCGAAAATCAAACCTTTATGCTTTTTTAATATTGTGTGCAAAATATATAATTTTCTTATACTTAGTATATCAGTTTTTAAATACAGGCTTTTTGTTGGGAATTTATAAGGCAAAAAGTACATTGTCTTTACTAAGGCGTGTTGAGCTCTTTCTAATTGCAACAATTTTGTTTTTGTTGCTCCACCTCATATCGGAAGGCAGTACGTTATTAACGATTGAGTTAATGCTACATAAATTTTGTTAATGAGCGTATCTGAAGTAATATGTCTTAGCGTTTTAAAAATCCAGGCTAATTTTCTAAATCTACATGTTATTACATTGATATGTTCATGCCAAGTTAAACGTTCATCTATAATGATCCCCAAGTACCTGGTTGCAGAAACTTTCGTAATGACAGAACAGTTACAATTTTGAACTTCATCAATGTTGCAAGTGTGTATCTTTATGTTAAAGTTACTTCCTGGTTGAGCTCGGTTTTTAATAGTAAAACAAATATAATTAGTTTTAAGTGCATTAAACGTTAGAAAATTTGATTGAAGCCAGCTTGCAATTATAGTAAGACCAGATTCTGTATTTTTACGAATCTCATCCCACGATGCTCCAGTAAAAACTACAGCTGCGTCATCGGCATATGTGAACACACGGGCACCATTAATTTTCAGATTACATAGATCATTGATATAAATTAGAAACAATGTTGGGCCTAAAATACTACCTTGTGGTACGCCGTAAGTGGTGTATGTGTCCTCACTAATAAACTGTCCTACTTTAACTTTTTGTGTACGGTTAAATAAGTAATTCTTAAACAATGTCAAGGTTGTGTCTCTGATGCCGATGTTTTCTAATTTTTGTAAAAGGATGGGGATAGAGATAGCATCAAAGGCCTTTTTAAGGTCTAGAAAAACTGCAAGACATTTTTTACCCTGATCTAAATTGTTAATTATATACGAGCTAAGAGCTAAGATTGCATCTTCAGTGGATTTACCTTGTCTGAATCCATACTGACAGTCACACAAGATATCGAACTTAGTAAGATAACTTAATAATCTTGTGTTGATAAGCTTTTCCAATATCTTAGAAAGTGAAGGTAGTACTGAAATAGGTCTGTAGTTGCTAACATCACCTCTATTCCCATTCTTATACACTGGTGTTATAACAGCTTGTTTTAAAGGTTGAGGAAAAACGCCATGCTTAAAACAAATGTTTACAAAGTGACAGATTATAGGAGTAATTTGAGTTACTGCAAGTTTTAGAAAATGCGCTGGAATGTTATCCCATCCAGGAGCACTGTTTGATTTTAGGCTCATGATAACACCATGTACCTCGTAAGGATCTGTATCTAGCAAGACAAAGGATGAAAGCTGTGGTTGTCCAACCAGTGTTATACATTTACTATTGTTATTTCTAGTTAATATTTTTTTGGCAAGATTTTTGCCTACATTGGCAAAGAAGTTATTAACATAATTTACCGAATCTAATGGTGTTGCTTTTGCTTGTAATAAATCTGTATTACTAATTTTTGTTTGATTTAAATGCGCTATTCTTTTAATATTTCTCCAAAGACTTTTACTGTTATTGAGAGACATCTGCAGGACTTGTCTTTCATAACTCTGTTTTCCTTTTTTTATTATTTTAGTACAAAAGTTACGATACCTCTTATATATAATTTTTTGAATTTCATTGTAAGGATCGGAATGCAACTTTTTTTGCAAAATATTGCGATTTCTAATACAACGCACAATGCCAGGTGTTATCCAAGGTTTTAAAATGCGTTTATTTTTTGGAAGATGCGATGATATTAACTAATATCTCTATAACTGTATGTGGATTGTCACAAAAAAGTAATTCAGTAAGATTATTTTGTAATAAGCTGTTAAAGGCACTTTTATAATCTGTAATTGTTTTTATCTTTGTGCAATCATTTATTAATTTTAAGTTAGATAGGTTTAGTAGTATCATTGAGTGATCAGTAATTGTTGTAAGTAAGACAGCAATTTGAGCATAGACCTTACTTTGTGTTAGCTTTAGAATGAAGTGATCTAGGCAACTGGTTTCTCTTGTGGGTAAGTAGTTTTTTTGTTTTTTTGTTTTTATATTTTTTCCCCCTGGGGGGGGTGGGTTTTTTGCTGCTTCAGTCAATGTTTATTTTAGTGGCACACACCTTTTGAATTTTTTTATTTTTTGGGGGTATATTTATAGATAAAAAGATATGTTTGCATCCTAATATGTAAATTGCTTTTCTCGTATACGGTTCTAGATTATTAGAATTTTTCATTTTAAGAGTGAGCTGTATATTAATGACAGTATTATATATGATCAGTTTTTGTGATAGTGAAAGTGATAGGGTTTTAATAAATGCAAGTGTAAGCTGTGTGTAAGAATGTATAAGTTGTGTGTAATACATATAAGAACTGATGATTTGTGAATTAATTACAATGCTTGGAAAAAACTTACGAACTAAAAGAGATATAGAAAAAAATAAAGTAATTTCATTATTTAGAAAAAATTTCGCGTTCTGTTCTAGTCATGCGGTATGCAATAACTGGTGAACCTGGGCTTCGTTCTTTATGGTTATTATTTGAGATGTCTCATCTTTGCGAACATAAACTTTTCCGTAGGCAGTCCAACAAAATTTGTATTTTTTTGTTTTTACAAGATCTCGAGCTAGGAAGTGTAACCGTGTACTTTTAGCAGTTAGATGATCGGTTATGTATATGGGAGTATCTTCAGCCGTACGAAAGCCAAGGTGTTTTGCACAAAGTTTAGTTTTGTGCCTGTTATTAAAAGATTTTGCCATTTTTAATATGTTACTTTTTAGCAATGTTGACGAAGTCTCTACCACAATGGGAGTATTGCGGATATTTTCTCTTTTACTACGAATACGATATATATCTTTTATATCTGCTTTGTTAAGATTACTCTCAATACTTTTGGATAAGCACATTACCATGTCTATTAAGTCCTCTTTAGATTCATTAACTTTTTTAGGAATGTTTTTCATTTCAAAATTCATCTTACGGCTTCCCATTTGCATATCCTCTATTCTATCCTCCAGTATCGTTATATATTTCCTGTCTTCTTTTATTTGGTTTTCCAAATATTCAATTTTCTTCCTAAGAAAGTAATAGAGCTTTCGATCTTTTGGTTTGTTTGTTGTATATTCTTTAATGTAGGTGTAATTTTTTTAAGTTCTTGTTCTTGCGGGACAAGTAGAGTAGCTATCATTTTCTTAATTTCATCCTTGAAGTTATTCAATTCTATTGAAATGTCACCATCCCTACGGCGTTTGCTACGCATCGACACAAATTTAGGTGGCGTGTTCTCTCTTTGTCCCGCTTGGCATAAATCAGCTTCAGAGAAGGATTTATCCATATTTGAGTTTGGTAAAAGACTATAAATCTTGTCTAGTATAAGTAAATCACGAAGGTAAAAATCACTTAACGTAATGTGTGCGGGCGCCCTTATTTTTGTCGACGATTGTCTTATTAAATCAAATCGCAGTCACAATATGCAAAACGAAATATGTTTCCAGTGAGACGAGTTTAAACTCACACCGATAGGCGAAACACAAAACAAAGGTACCTTTAGTCGGATAATATGATGTGCAATAATTACCAATCAGGTAGAAGAAGGAGGAGCTATTTAATTGGCATACGCACAATAATGAATGAATTAAGTAATACTGTCTCCTTCTGATCTGTTTAGGTACTATGACTACTGACGTTACTTTGCACATTCATTGAATTACACTGGTACTCTTCACTATTGTTTTCGTTGTAAATTCATAAAACAAATAACACTCACGGAAACGGGGTCCCAGGGCCGCAGAAGCGTTGAATTATTAGACGTTTTGTTGTACAAGCAAATATGATGTTGCTAACACTCACAGAAACAGGGGTACCAGGGTAGCAGAAGTGTTAAGTTCTTCGACGTTTTTGTCTTGTAAAATTATAATCTCCTATTATTTCAAACTGATTTACATGGTAAATTTAACTTTACTATTTTTTTAAAATTAAGTTAACACTGACTTAAGTCACGTCTACACCTTGTGGCGGTCCGGAGGGAAGGGGGTATTGAAAAGCGACTGTCTATCGAATGTCTGACACTGCTACCGAGATTATGACAATTTATTTTATTGCTTAATCTTTACTTTGGGCACCTGACAAATAGAATAAGGAATGTATCTGTGAAATGAATATTCAGTATCTGACCAACACAAACAAAACATTCAGAAATTTGTATAAAACCAAATAGTATAATGGATATATGGTAGTAATAGCCATGTAATTGGGAATAATTTCATAAGCTTGATGCTATAAAGTGCAGTATGCTAGTAAGGAATTAGAGATTTTCAATACAAAGCTTACACATGTAGGAAACATGCAATGTTTATTATAATAAAAATATGTAATCTGCATGAGGTAAATTGTTTTAAAATGTGTTCATTCTTATTTCCATACAAAAATTTTCTCTTGGGTGTGGTTAGTAACAGAAAGTGTTAGTATATCATGGGCTCCACTACATTTTTAATAATACACTAGCGATACGCCCCAGCTTGGCACAGGTCATTTCTGGATCTCGATAACAGCGCCATTTATAGTCTAATGAGTTTTTAAACCATCCAGGGATACACTCAAATAAATTAAACATAAATAAAAATTCAAAACATATATCAAAATTGGTCGAACCATTTTCGTTTTTCATCTTCGGTAATGATTATGTGAACAGTTATAACAAATGTACATATTAGGTGATAGTTATTAATCATTGATTATTTTTAGATACTTATATAGTTTTACTTATAAACTCATGCACAATTTACTTTTATATTAAAAATGTGAAAACATTAACTAATGTAAATTATGACGAAAACATAATCACTTGCAAAATTGGAATATAAACTTTTTTTTATTACCAGGCAAAACAACTAAAATGAACAACTTACACAATCCTGGTACTTCATCGAGACTAGAAATTCCTTTATCCACCAAGTCAATCTCAGGGTTATTTATTTCTTTCGCTTCTTCAATTACCTTTTTAGCTTTAGACATTTTGCCAGTGTTAGGAATACAAGAAACTGGCGGATGATGACTCATTGGGATAAAGAGGCGCAAGCGCGAGTTTATTATGATGATAAGAATTTTGTCCAATCAGAAGAATGGTTTTATTTCTTTTTGCCATTATTGGTTATAATTCAGTGTTGCTATAATGCAACGATTAATGTAAACGTAGACCAGTGTTGCCATATATACAGATTTCCCCGTATTTATACAGATTTTCGGTGTGTGATACAGATTAGCATTAGCACTGGGTACAGATTTTTATACAGAGTTTTCTAACTCTATTGATTGGATTACCATTATATTCAACTTAAAATAGAATGAAGCAAAATAATTGACTAGATACCGCGTTACACACATTCATGATTCTATTTTTTATGGTTAATTTATTTTTAAAAAATATGTATACAAGGTGTAAGTGTAAACATCGTTTTCACTAAAACCATTGGTAGTTTAGTTAGTAGGCTTTAATATAAAAATATTTATCCGAATTCTAAAAAACACCCTATTTTCTTTCATAAATTCATGGATACCCTATGCGCCCGGGTGACGTAATCACTGTAAAGATCACCGCCCGCGCTAGCTACCTACACTATATTCCAATAAAAACACAATAGGTACACATAACCTGTGATGTAACTCTTCCTTCATACTTTCACCCTGGCTTAGGACAGGCAAAATTGAGGAATTAAGGAAAAATTGAGATTTTACTAAAAATTGTTGTTATTTTTCATTGAATTTAAGTTCTATAAGTGAAACCAAACCGCTGGTTTCTAGTATAACGGTGTTTACACTAAAGCCCTGTGTATAAAATATGTATGACTGAAAATAATAAAGTAATTATATGTTCATTTGGCAAATGTTTGAGTTTTAATATGTTGTTTGCTTAAATTAATGTTTTCAATTTTGCTATATAAAAAATTTAGTGTATAGTGTATATTTTATACGTGGTAGAGCCACGTTGCAGCTATATTATGGTTGCAGCACTGCAACCATAATAGCTGACGCTCGACCGGGGAAGGACCACGCTCTCACAGAATACCAGCGTAAAATACCAGCTTAATGCTGCTGTGTTTTGTATGGTGAAAGTAGAAATCCGGAGACCCTTTTTACTGGAAATGAGGCATCCCCTCTTGGTCCTCAGGCGTGACAACGTATCTGCGTTTTAATTCTTAAGCGAGGATAAATGTAGATGTCTATGGGCCATAGCATCCACTTACCATCGATGGACTGTGTGCTCGTTTGTCACCCTTATTCTATAAAAAAATATTTTTATTTAATAACGATTATCAAACTTTATCTGCTTATCACGTTAGTAGTTATTCCTTGTTTTTCAAAAAAAACAATGATGATGATGATGATCAATTATTCTATTTTAGTTTATTAAATTATACAGATTTTATACAGATTTTAAGTTTAAATAGCATACAGATTAAATACAGATTTTAGCAGTGTCTAATACAGATAAAAGGCTCAAGACGTCTGGCAACACTGACGTAGACAGAGAATATTCTCTGTCTACGGCGGTCTACGGCTTGCGACGTACCTATCTATTTATCTATGATATCAGATGATTATAATTACATAGTAGAGTAATATATACAGAAAATTATAATAAATAACCACAAATTAATAAGAGTTAAGAGTACTAACGTAATGATAACGGAGTAATAGTGTTCTTTGATAATAATTGATTGAGTTTATAAGTATTTGTGTAATCATTTTTATCCCAATAATTAGAAAAACAGTGGTAAGTAGGTTTTATAATGAATGTGTTTACTTGGATAATTTATCTTTAAAACTATTTATTTTCCCATTACTGCATGATAATTTGTTTTTATTTTTATTATACTAATATGTGCACTTTTTAAGTGTTTTTTTTTAATGTTAACATAGTGCAAAATACTACTTTATTATGTTTGTCATCGAGGTATTAAAATAGAAAGAATTATTTCTATGTTTAATTGTTTTATCGCATATTTCATAATTTTCTTGTATTCAAATCAATTTATTAATTATTGTTAAACTGCTTTTTGATAATCAAATTAAAATATGAATAGTAACCATCATATAAGGGTTAACTATTTCTCAGTTTACATTATTCTTGTTGAAATGTTGTAGAAATTGTCATAACTATTTTTTTTGTTCATGTTGCTGAATGTTTGAAAAAAAGAAAAGAAAATAACCCTATAGTGTACCTAAATGTCTAATAAACTAAATTTTTGCAATAAAACTACATAATATTTTTGTACTGGTGCCTTTATTGTTCAACTGACGTGTGCTATCCTATTTTACAATGTGCCAGTGAGATACTTGTTGGGTGATAGATTACTTGTTGGTTCATTCCAGGATAGAGATTTTTCTGAACCAGCAGTAAAAATAAAAAAATAACTTTCAATAAGAATTACATGTTATGTGTTCAATTTGTTCCTATCAAATGAAGTAAATTTCTTCACAATCAGTCTGTGAAACTTTGAATTCAGTAGTGAATGGAGTCACTAGGCTTGTCTATCAATCAGCAGAGTGTACCATATATTAATATATTTTTCACTTTCCACTTAAAGTTAAGTTGTAAGATTAAAAAATGTATTTCAAAATTTGTGTTGTATATTTTAGTATGTATGAAAGTGGTTTTTCTAGCCATGAGTGAGCGACCACAGCCACTGAAGGCTATCAACAGGTTCTTTGAGGGCAAGGAACCATGGCAAATAGTTACCATAACTGCATCCTCTGTGCTTGCTATTGTGTGGGCACACAGTCTGTATAATGGAAGAGAGAGTAAGTGAATTTCTTTTTCACCCACAATGCTGTTTATTCAATGCATTTTTTTGTTATTATATTATGTTAAATTCATTATCCCAGTTCAGATCATACTTTAATGCTTTAATATATAATGTTTGTCTGTGTGATTTCATATTTTGAAAAATTTTTTTTCTTGGAATCAGTCTGTTTAAAGAAATATAGACTTGAAATCTGTTGAACCAGAATTTACTAAGATTTAAACTTTATTGTTATAAACTTCCATGCTTATATTTAGAATTGTTAAGACTCTAAACATTAAATTCAAAAAAATTCAAATAACAGTTTGGGATTTAAGTAAATTACACAACAAAGTTACCAATTCACCCTTCCATCCGGTGCTATTAAAGATTCTTTAATTGTTACCAAAGTAATTATAATAAATTAAAAATAATAATTAATTAACTTGGTGGTAATAAATAACTTTTATTCTATATGGAATGTTAATAACCTTTTAACATATAAATTGGCTATCGTTGTCAAGCTGGTGCCATACATATTTTTAGTTTGCAATAACAAAGATGATTTCACGCAGGTTTTGGCATTTTCTCTTTTCAGCGTTTATAATATGCTCAGGAAGGGATGAGGTTTTCTTATGTTGCTACCATTGTTTGTTGCATTATTTGAATTTATCATGATTTGCAGCCAGCAGCAGTGCACTGCACTGGCATCAATAGCATCGTAATTTTTGACATAGCTCATTCTATTGCATAGATCATTCTATTGCTTTGAATGTAAATATTTTTGCTATATTGCATTGAGCGGCTCATCGATTTCTAGTAGCTTAGGGAAATAACCTTTTTGGGTAACCAATATTTTTTGAGAGGAGGCCTCACTGTAGCACATACTCTAGGCTATAAATTTACTTTCTTTTACTTCATACGTAACAGGCGTACCAACAAGACTACGGAAAGAATTCTTCCGTTGGCTTCGTCGCGTACCGATGGTGCGACGTAAGATTGAAGAGAAAATGTCCGAGATAAAACGGGATTTTCGAAGGGACGTGGCTAAGCGTTTAGCCGGCGTGACGATAAGGCGCGAAATACCGGACGTTGGACTATCAGCGGAACAGATAGCTGAAGAAATCAAGGATCATCTTACATTGGGTATGTTATTAGAGAATTACTGTCAGTTAGCCTAAGTATGCAAAAACAAAGTAAAATTAAAAACATATTAAACAAATAAGAGTTAACATTAGCCGGTCATTTTATTAAACGCTCTGCAAATTGCATAAGTTTTTTTTATTTTTTTTTGATTTGACCGGTGGCGTTTATCTAAATGGCTAGCCGTCCAATTTTTTTTCATATAATATGGAAGTTACAATTGGGCTTACAGTCCATCTTATGGTAGTGGCTAACTGCAGCCAATGTACACATGCAAGTAACTTCAAACTTTTAAAAAAGCTACAAAATGTGTAGTTACCTCAAAGACATTTGAGTATGTAGTAGTAACAGATCGTCAGCAACAAAATTGTCGTCTGAAACTTTTTCCAATAGGATATATCTTCGATTTTTGTCATTTAGTCTTAGTAACATCGTCAACAACAAGGTCGAGACGCATTAGTTTCCTAAATTAAAAAAATATTTTTGAAGAAAATATGCCCGGTTGGGCATTAAGGTATTGTAAGTCACGATATGGAGCAAAAAATGAATGTGATTTTGATTTATTATCGTAAGAATAATGTATGTTTACCAAATAATCTTTAAATTTTATTATTTCTAGTAGATTGTTCTATGAGAAAGAAAAATTATTGCAATAAGTGCCCTCTGTTATCCAGTTACGTCATTATTTTTTATCAATATATTATTATTTGGCGACGTGCCTAAAACAGATTTTTACCTTATATTTAGTAGCGTCACCTAATGGGCAATAGCAGAAATGTTTTCCTAATAAATATTGAGCGTAATATTGCTATGTTTCGCTAGAGAGTGTAACACACGCGCGAACTCAAAGTTTTTCTATGTAAATGTTCCCAATGTGCGCTCTATAGTATATATATTTAAATCGCTTTGAGTTATCTCTTAGGCATAAAATGTCACAGTCTGTTATAGGCTTTCTACACACTTATGATCAGAACACAGCTGTACGGGCACTAAGAGAATAGCACCTACCCATCGACTCTCCTTCGCGGAAAATAAGTCCTAACACCTTGTATACGTATACTACATTTATACAAGGTATAGAAATGTATA